AAATACTTGATGTCTTGAGAGCCCTTTCAATCCAACAGTAAACTGGGGGAGTTATACCTGATTGCATGTGCTTTAAATTCTCTTTCAATGTTTCTATAGGGACACTCCACATTTTGCACTGTATGGGGGTTTAAAAAATTTGCCTTTTGAGTTTTTTATATTCTAATCCAAACCAAATTACAACCCCGATATTTCATACAACTCGTACCACTTACCAAATTTTTTAGAAAACCGAAACACTTTATAAACAAACAGAATTTACAAGAGTCGCTAACACCAGAAACCCCCCCAAAATCAAAGAGGGCGAGAATATCTGGGCTAACTTTAAAAAAACGCTGCAATCCCAAAACTTGATCAAAAATTTTTGGGCCTTATCAGTAGTTGAAAAATATCACTGGCAATAAGAATAAGGTTAGAAAAATTTAGTACGGGTCAGTATAAAGAATCGATTTAAAATTCATATGAAGTTTGGTGAGAAAATGATTTTCCCAAACCCAGACAAATTTTGGGGACAGCTCTGAAAAACCTCCTGACCCTGTACTCCTCCCTTTTGATACCAGTCAGACGATAAAACCTGAATGTCTTTAAATTCCTACATAACGACAGGTATTGAGAAACCCCAAGAAATCATTTTTTTACTACCAATTGATTTGCCTAAAAAATACACCCTAGTTTTTTTAAGTTCTTGTTTTGTTTTTTCCTTTTAAACCCACGGGGAAGTGGAACAGAATTTTTCCCTCCGTAAGCCATGCGTGTTGTAAGGGCGACTAAAAAGAGGGAGCAAGGGGGGTAGTAACCTCTTCTTTCCCGCTAAATTACTAAATTTTTAAAAAAAGAAACTTTTTTTTTTCTTTTTTTGGGGCCCCACTGCCTCGGTGGGATCAGCCCGGGGTTGAAAGAAAGTTTCGAGTATACCAGGGAAATGTACAGTAGGGCTATAAATTTAAAGAATTAGAGGGGAAACAGAAAGTAGGGGCTGCGGATGATCAAGGAGGTTTCAAAGTGGGGGAGGGGGGTGTAGATCAAAATGTTTACATTGAAGCATATATGTGAACAGTATTTAGATAAAGGCAGGGAAGTTTTTATTGCATTTATGGATTTAGAAAAGGCATATGGATAGGGGAGCAATGTGGCAGATGTTGCAAGTACAGTGGACCCTCGACCAACGATGGCATCGATTAACGATAAATCTGACTAGCGATACATTTTAACGCAAAAATTTTGCCTCGACTAGCGCTTAAAAACCCGACCAGCGCTATTCGTTCCGTACCATACGCGTCCACTTTGGCCTGAGCACGCCTCACTTGTCCCTTTGGTGCCAGTGTTTACAAGCCAGCCAGCCAGCCACCGCGGCCGCTTCCAAACATACAACTGGAACATTTCATATTATCACAGCCTTTTTAGTGATTGCACCTGAAAGTGGAGTGCGTATCTCTGAGCTGGTCAGGGTGTATAATAAACCCCAATCAACCATCGCTACTATTGTGGGCAAGAAAACGGCAATCAAGGAAGCTGTTCTTGCCAAAGGTGCAACTATGTTTTCGAAACTGAGATCGCAAGTGATAGAAGATGTTGAGAGACTTTTATTGGTATGGATAAACGAGAAACAGATAGCAAGAGACAGCATCTCTCAAGCGATCATATGTGAAAAGGCTAGGAAGTTGCATGACGATTTAATTAGAAAAATGCCAGCAACTAGTGATGTGAGTGAATTTAAGGCCAGCAAAGGTTGGTTTGAGAGATTTAAGAAGCGTAGTGGCATCATAGTGTGATAAGGATGGTGAGGCTGCCAGTTTGGACCACAAATCGGCTGAAAATATGTGCAGGACTCAAGGAGTACATAGACAGTGAAGGACTGAAACCTGAACAAGTGTTTAATTGTGACGAAACAGGCCTGTTTTGGAAGAAAATGCCAAGCAGGACGTACATTACTCAGGAGGAAAAGGCACTCCCAGGACATAAGCCATGAAAGACAGGTTTACTCTGTTGATGTGTGCCAATGCTAGTGGTGATTGGGAAAGTGAAGCCTTTATTGGTGTATCACTCTGAAACTCCCAGAGTGTTCAGGAAAAAAAAATGTCCTCAAGGCTAATTTGTGTGTGCTGTGGAGGGCAAACAGTAAGGCATGGGTCACTAGGGACTTTTTCTATGATGGTTACATCATACATTTGCCCCAATGTGAGAAATTACTAATTGAAAAGAAATTAGACCTTAAGTTTCTCCTGGTATTAGACAATGCTCCTGGTCATCCCTTTAGACTTTGGCAGAGCGACTTTCTAGGGACATGAGCTTCATTAAGGTGAAGTTTTTGCCTCCTAAAAACCACTCCTCCTCCTGCAGCCCATGGACCAGCAGGTTATTCCAACTTTAAGAAATGTAAAACAAAAGCTATGTTTTTTAAAGGTGCTTTGTAGTGACCTCAGAAACTCAACTGACTCTAAGAGAGTTTTGGAAAGATCATTTTACCATCCTCAATTGTGTAAACATTATAGGTAAGGCTTGGGAGGAAGTGACTAAGATGACATTGAACTCTGCTTGGAAAAAACTGTGGCCAGAATGTGTAGACAAAAGGGATTTTGAAGGGTTTGAGGCTAACCCTGAGAATCCTATGCCAGTTGAGGAATCCATTGTGGCATTGGGGAAGTCCTTGGGGTTGGAGGTTAGTGGGGAGGATGTGGAAGGTTGGTGGTGGAGGACAGTGAAGAACTAACCACTGATGAGCTGCTAGATCATCTTGAACAGCAAGAGGGCACACCTGAGGAAACTGCTTCGGAGGAGGGGAGAGAGAAATTGAAGAAGTTGCCTACTTCTAAGATAAAGGAATGTGTGCAAAGTGTCTTGAAGTGCAAACCTTTTTGATGAAAATCACCCTGACACAGCTACTGCAAGCCGTGCTGGTGACTATTACACTGACACTGTTGTGAACCACTTTAGGAAAGTCATAAAGGAACGAGAGGTACAGGCCTCTATGGACAGATATGTTGTGCGACAGAAGTCCAGTGACTCTGAAGCTGGTCCTAGTGGCATTAAAAGAACAAGGGAAGTAACCCCAGAAAAAGACTTGCTGCCTCAAGTGCTAATGGAAGGGGATTCCCCTTCTAAACACTAACACCTCTTCCCTCCCATCCCATCAATCATCACCAGATCTTCAATAAAGGTAAGTGTCATGTAACTGTGCATGTAATCTTCAGTTTGTGTGTATTAAAATTAATATTTCATGTGGTAAAAATTTTTTTTTTTCAATACTTTAGGGTGTCTTGCACGGATTAATTTGATTTCCATTATTTCTTATGGGGAAAATTAACTTGACTAATGATAATTCTGACTAACGATGAGCTCTCAGGAACGGATTAATATCGCTGGTTGAGGGTCCACTGTATATGGAATAGGTGGTAAGTTACTAAATGCTGTAAAGAGTTTTTATGAGGATAGTGAGGCTCAGGTTAGGGTGTGTAGAAGAGAGGGAGACTACTTCCCAGTAAAAGTAGGTCTTAGACAGGGATGTGTAATGTCACCATGGTTGTTTGATATATTTATAGATGGGGTTGTAAAAGAAGTAAATGCTAGGGTGTTCACGAGAGGGGTGGGATTAAATTATGGGGAATCAAATACAAAATGGGAATTGACACAGTTGCTTTTTGCTGATGATACTGTGCTTATGGGAGATTCTAAAGAAAAATTGCAAAGGTTAGTGGATGAGTTTGGGAGTGTGTGTAAAGGTAGAAAGTTGAAAGTGAACACAGAAAAGAGTAAGGTGATGAGGGTATCAAATGATTTAGATAAAGAAAAATTGGATATCAAATGGGGAGGAGGAGTATGGAAGAAGTGAATGTTTTCAGATACTTCGGAGTTGACGTGTCGGCGAATGGATTTATGAAGGATGAGGTTAATCACAGAATTGATGAGGGAAAAAAGGTGAGTGGCGCATTGAGGTATATGTGGAGACAAAAAATGTTATCTATGAGGCAAAGAAGGGAATGTATGAAAGTATAGTAGTACCAACACTCTTATATGGGTGTGAAGCTTGGGCTCTGAATGCAGCAGCGAGAAGGCAATTGGAGGCAGTGGAATGTCCTGTCTAAGGGCAATGTGTGGTGTAAATATTATGTAGAAAATTCGGAGTGTGGAAATTAGGAAAAGGTGTGGCGTTAAAAAAAGTATTAGTCAGAGGGCTGAAGAGGGGTTTTTGAGGTGGTTTAGTCATTTAGAGAGAATGGATCAAAGTAGAATGACATGGAGAGCGTATAAATATGTAGGGGAAGGAAGGCGGGGTAGGGGTCGTCCTCAAAAAGGTTGGAAGGAAGGGGTAAGGGAGGTTTTGTCGGCGAGGGGCTTGGACTTCCAGCAGGCGTGCATGAGTGTGTTCAATAGGAGTGAATGGAGACGAATGGTATTTGGGACCTGATGATCTGTTGGAGTGCGAGCAGGGTAATATTTAGTGAAGGGATTCAGGGAAACCGGTTATTTTCATATAGCCGGACTTGAGTCCTGGAAATGGGAAGTACAATGCCTGCACTCTAAAGGAGGGGTTTCGGGATATTAGCAGTTTGGAGGGATATGTTGTGTATCTTTATATGTATATGCTTCTAAACTGTTGTGTTCTGAGCACCTCTGTAAAAACAGTGATTATGTGTGAGGTGAAAGTGTTGAATGATGATGAAAGTATTTTCTTTTTTGAGGATTTTCTTTCTGTTTGGGTCACCCTGCCTCAGTGGGAGACGGCCGACTTGTTAAAAAAAGTACATGAAAACACAGGGTGAGGATCTGCCCTACTTTATCAACCTTATTTTTTTTGGAAAAGGAGGTACAGATAATACACCTTGTTAACTATTATTAATGGTGAAACTAGATACAGCACTGCATTATATGATGTAAACTCAGTCAGTATTGGCAATGTCTTGCACTTTATTTTTAATCTGTAATCTTATTCTTTCTGTCTGCTTAGCTATCTCTTATTCAACATATAGCTAGCTAGATAATTCTATAAAAAACTATATTACCTTGCACTTGGGGCACACAAATGTAGTCATGTTCTCCACAATACCAATAATTGGAATGTTGACTTTCTTGCAAAAGGTGATTTCCTTACGAACATCAAGTAATGCAATCTCCTGGTGGCAAGATACAATAATATAATGTAGAAATTTTGTTTGAAAACTGACAAGTAATCACAGCAATACTGTAATAAGTTGTATTAATAAAGGATAATTCAGAGATGATTATACTTGAGCCACCCTATTGGGGATAGTTAAAAAAAAAACAGATAACTTTATTTCCTGAGAAGATATATTAGCTACAGTAGTAGGTTAATAGTGCATATTTCCTACAAGGAAAAGTGCAAAGTTATGCATAACATTTTAGGCAAGTCTTAAGCTAGGATCAATACTAACAATATAAAAATAAAAAATATATATTCAACACCTATATATAAATATTTTACACACTAAATATATAAGAATACATTATGCTCGATGGAGCAAAATAGGTGATTTGGAGGGTGTATAAATCTGTAGTGGAGCGTAAGAGGGGTTGGGGTCGTCCTACAAAAGGATGGCGATTTTGTGTGCAAGGGCCTTGAGGCATGAGTGAGTGTGTCAAGACAGGAAGGAAGGAATGAATGGAGATAAATGTATTTCGGGACCCGATGAGCAAGCAGGGTAATATTTTGTGAAGGGATTCAGAGAAACCAGCTAGCCAGACTTGAATCCTGGAGGTGGGAAGTACAATGCCTGCACTTTAAAGGAGGGGTTTGGGATATTGGATGTTTGGAGTGACATCAAAATTGTCATACATGGGCACCTCTGCAAACACAGTGATTATGTGAATGGTGAAAGTGTATCTTTCATTTTTGGGGTCACCCTGCCTTGGTGGGAGACAGCCAATGTGTTGGGAAAAAAAAAAAAAGCAAAATACTGCACTGTAGTAGAAATTTTAGCATAGACTGAGCATTTAACTTAAGGCATTAATTTAAGATTAAATGTTAAAGTGAAACTTTACTTAAAATAGGGAAGTGTAAGGATGCTATAATGGTTTGACTATTTAATAGTCTAAGTCAGGCTGAAATGTTGTCATAGTTTTGTTCTTAAAGAATGAGTTTATTTGTTATCATCCAGGTGTAGGTTATTTTTATCTGTCACAGCATAAGAATACTGTACTAGCTTAGATGCTAGGTGACATTTCATAACTCAATGATACAGAAGAGAAAGAGAAGTAAGCTTCGGACACCTTGGGGGCAACTGAAGCTGAGGCAGCTAATTAAGATTTAACCCTTGGACAGTCAGGACCCCCAAAATTAAGTGCTGACAGTGTCAGGATTTAAAAAAAAAATCTGAAATGGCAAGAGAATCTTTTTCTGAAGGCAATGACACAAAAAATATGAAATTAGATGTAAAACTTACAGAACTACATAGGAACAAACTTGACAGTCTCGGTGCAATTTATGCAACAGCAATTCTGCCCATTTTGAGTCCTATTTTAAGCATATGTCATTGCTCATTTCAATCAAATTCTTAGCAGTTTCATTAGTATGCCTTCCATTATATCAAACAGGCACAAGAAACCACCCATTCAACTATCAGAACTACCCTATAAAGTACACAGAAGTTGGTAATTTGGCCAATTTTATAAAAAAAATTCAACAAATTCCAATTTAAAAACAGAATCCAAAATTAATACTGTATAATTCCATCAATTAAAGCAACCCGTCCTCTGTTCATTAGTCGTATTCCCTCAATTTTGAATCTACCATAACAAAAAATTTAAGTTCAGTAGTCGGATAAAACACAATCTGTTGATACATTTTAGAAAATTGTGGCATATTTTCAGTATACACGCCATAAAAATAGGCTTACATGGTGGAGTACATGCAGGTTCTATTATGTTGGTCCAGAAATGAACTAGAACTGAGGATGATGTCTCAGTAATTTTTGTGGGTTTGGAGATAAAAAAAAAAATGAATACATAATATTATGCAATTAAAGCAAAAAAAGCTTTAGAAATATGGCCAAAATTAAGAATGAAAATATTTTGGACAACCTGTGGTGTTGTAACAATAACAGCAGCTACAGAAGGAGCAGAAGAAAGGTACTGGACAATGCTTAAGTGTTCATCACTAGTCCCCGGTGGTGTATCCACAATGAGGTAGTCCAGAGATCCCCAGTTAACATCACGCAGGAACTGCTTGATCATCCCTAGCATGGAGCAAGTAATGGCATAAATAATTGGAAATGAGCTACTCTTTATGAAAAATAATTACAGTAAAAGTATTTGAGAAATAAAATAGAATTATAGTACAGTACTATAGAGTATAAAAAACATTCCCAAAAATAAAGTGATACTGTACTTTAAAGTAATACTATACTATAACCTTCTTATTCAATATTCAGATCTGTCCAAAATTTGGAAAATAAATTTTAAATTAGAAGAGGTATCCAGAAATCCTAAAATTTGCATCTGTAACAGGAAAAATTCTTATTTCTAACATTTTGGACAATTTTTCTTAAATAATGAATTCACAATGATCTCAAAGTAAGGTTTTACAGAATAAGAGGGAAAAATAATAAATTAAATTTTGATTTTGGAAAATTTGGGTAATTTTTTCAGAAGGAATAGGAAGGTGAACTGAGAAGATTGTGGCGATACTAACAGGAAGCCAACAACACCCACATCTGAACACTTTGAATTTTACTCTGTAGCCTTAGGTGGGTGATCATTCAAAAATAATATATAAAAAGCAAAATGAAAGTGAATATTCCAGGATTTCATTCCCACTGCTTATTATTTTAGTGTCATCAATTATAAAATCAACACTTCCTATTACATTTAAATCTTTCATCTAAATTACCATCTACCTGGTATTAAGCAGAGTGAATAAGACTAATGCTAAATTAAAAAAATAAAAAAAGTTCATACCATTTTTTTTTGGTCCTCTCCAAATGACAGCATCATCTGCACTGTTTAAGAGGAACCCTATTGACATCACTGCAAGATTTTCTGCAACATACTGGGAGGGAGGGAGAAAGTTTGTATTTATTAAAACCTTAAAATATTAATGAAATGGTGTACTGTACATAATCTATGAACAAAACAAATGTGTAATAAATGAACAAATACACATACAAAAAATCAAATTGGAGTACACAGCACCAACTAGTATGAGTGTGGAAATTAGGAGAAGGTGTGGCATTAATAAAAGTATTAGTCAGAGGGCTGAAGAGGGGTTGTTGAGGTGGTTTGGTCATTTAGAGAGAATGGATCAAAGTAGAATGACATGGAGAGCATATAAATCTGTAGGGGAAGGAAGGCAGGATAGGGGTCGTCCTCGAAAAGGTTGGAAGGAAGGGGTAAGGGAGGTTTTGTGGGCGAGGGGCTTGGACTTCCAGCAGGCATGCATGAGCGTGTTAAGATAGGAGTGAATGGAGACGAATTGTATTTGGGACCTGACAATCTGTTGGAGTGTGAGCAGGGTAATATTTAGTGAAGGGATTCAGGGAAACCGGTTATTTTTATATAGTCGGACTTGAGTCCTGGAAATGGGAAGTACAGTGCCTGCACTCTAAAGGAGGGGTTTGGGATATTAGCAGTTTGGAGGGATATGTTGTGTCTCTTTATATGTATATGCTTCTAAACTGTTGTGTTCTAGCACCTCTGCAAAAACAGTGATTATGTGTGAGTGAGGTGAAAGTGTTGAATGATGATGAAAGTATTTTCTTTTTGGGGATTTTTTCTTTCTTTTTGGGTCACCCTGTTTATATATATATATATATATATATATAATATATATATATATATATATATATATATATATATATATACACACACACCCTACAATTGGATAGAATTAAATTATTTATATTCAAAATTTCAATTATAATAATAATAATAATTTGTAAAGTGGTAGTGTTATGTACTTACAATGGGTGACCAGCCTGCACCAGAGGAATGAACCTTCTCATCCTCAGCACCCAGTACTCTGGGCTGAGACGGACCACATATGTCAATATCTAGGATTCCAACCTGTGGAGAATTAAACTTACTGAATCACAGCACCTGTACAAAATGTCTTTAAAGGTAGTTAAAAAAATAAAAAAAAGCCACTAAAACTAATCCCACCACTACCTACAAAAACACAATCGAAAACAAGACAACAATACTTTCACCATCATGCAGCCAGCAGCAACAGCCTGGTTGATCAGGCTCTGATCCACCAGGAGGCCTGGTCACAGACCGGGCCGCGGGGGCGTTGACCCCCGGAACTCTCTCCAGGTAAACTCCAGGTAAATAATAACAATAAAATGCACGTCACGAATGCCACCGCTATCGCCAGCTCTGCTTCCACTATCAATAACATTAATAATACCCCAACAGCAAGAGAGAGCCACTGAGATGCTATGCATTCAAGTGGCTTTGGCATGCTGCATTTAACTGTATTCTTTTGTACTTCTCTGTATCATGTTCAAATAAATAAATAAATAAATAAACACCATCAACAACTAGATACTGCCACAGGATCATACATGACCACTGATATACCTTTGATCAGTTTATAAATTTTCTTTTTTATGCCTAAGGCCCGGCTTTGGGCCAGGCTTCCCTGGTTAACCAGGCTGTTAATGCTGGTGGACCCCTAGCCTACATATCCATTACAGCTTGAGTGATCTGGAACCTGATGAAGATACTTGTCCAGTTTCTCCTTGAAAACTTTTATACTTGTCGCAGCAGTTTCTGGTATCTTCTGGGGGGCGGGGGCATGGATATTGATACAATATTTTCTTATTATGAGCATGGCACCCCTGCTTTTCACTGGGTTTATTTAGTACTTCCTTCCATATCTCTCCAGTATGTTGGTATACGGAGATTTATGACACGGCCCTCAAGTACTTTCCAGGTATATATTATCATGTATCCCTCTCCTCCACTCCAATGAGTACATATTTTAATTAAAGCGTTCCCTATAATCCCCTACAATTGAATGGTTTTCCTCGTATACTTCATTCACAGGATTGGGTTCCTTGTCATACTCCATCACGCAATGGTTTCCCTTTTATATCCATTAAGCAATGGTTTTCCGTCATACTCCATCACAATTGGGTTTTACGCTCCACTGCAAAAATGGTTACACTCCATTACACAATAGTTTTCCTGTCATATGAATGTTATACACCATTACACTGGAAGGTTTTTCCGGTTATACTCCATCACCCAAGAAAGTTTGCCTTGTCATACTCCATCACACATAATGGGTTTCACGCGGTATGGTTTCCCCCTCATATTTTATCACACATAATAAGTTGTCCTTTCATATGCCATCGTACAAAATACGTTTTCCACCATACTCGATCACAATAATAACAATAATAATAATAATAGTTTATTTCTACATGTACAAGGTATACAGGCCTAGACGACATCAATGGCATACTATTTACATACAAATCCTCTTGTTATACGGAACATTTCGGACAAATTGGGTCAATTTTGTCCCCAGGATGCGACCCACACCTATTTGATAGGTAAACAGGAACAGCAGGTGTTTTAAGGAAACACGTCCTAATGTTTCCAGCCGTACCGGGGGTCAACCCACCGACCTCAATGTGTGAGCTGAGTGCGCTAGCAAACGAGCTACAAGACGCCTGTCACCCTCTTTCACAAAAGAATGATTTTGTTGCACAATGTTTCCTCACATACATGAACAAATGTATGGCCAGGTGGCCTAAACTTTACTTAACAGTAGACATGTATACATTTAGCTTGATTGTACACACAGTAAAGAAAACACCAGTTATGCAACCCCACCCTATTTTACATTGGAACAGATAACCTATTAAAAATGCGAGAACTTAAAACACTCATAGGGTATTCTACATGGGGAATGCTGGATAAACATGTTATAAGGGAGTGTAGGCATGTGACGGAGGTGGATAACACCCCCTCTATCCCCCATGACTAATGACAGAGAGAGGGGGGTGGAAGAGTAGCAAGGGAGGGAGATGGACACATATTGACTTCTTGCTGAGGTAGCCTTCCCTCCCCTATACCTCCCCCAACAAACCCAATGGCTCCCTCTCAGCCATGACACAAGGTATATGCACCGACGTATATACAGTGTATCAGTGTACATGCAGTGCATTCTAAGCAGTCTGCCAAAAAAGCTGAACTGCCCTGCAATAATGATTCCGAAAAATTTCTCATGCATTAATGAGAATATTTTTAAGAATCAGTATTGCATACTTCCAAGAAACTGAGGCTACCCTTCCCTTAATTGGATCACACCTGATTACCTCCTATTTCCCAGGCGCTGTATGACCCGTAGAGGTTTAATGCTTCACAGTATATAATAATAATAATTAATAAGTCTGTTGAGTATACCTGGCAAAGTGTATGGTAGAGTTATTATTGAAAGAATTAAGAGTAAGACGGAGAATAGGATAGCAGATGAACAAGGAGGCTTTAGGAAAGGTAGGGGGTGTGTGGACCAGGTGTTTACAGTGAAACATATAAGTGAACAGTATTTAGATAAGGCTAAAGAGGTCTTTGTGGCATTTATGGATTTGGAAAAGGCGTATGACAGGGTGGATAGGGGGGCAATGTGGCAGATGTTGCAGGTGTATGGTGTAGGAGGTAGGTTACTGAAAGCAGTGGAGTTTTTACGAGGATAGTGAGGCTCAAGTTACAGTATGTAGGAAAGACGGAAATTATTTCCCAGTAAAAGTAGGCCTTAGACAGGGATGCGTGATGTCACCGTGGTTGTTTAATATATTTATAGATGGGGTTGTAAGAGAAGTAAATGCGAGGGTCTTGGCAAGAGGCGTGGAGTTAAAAGATAAAGAATCACACATAAAGTGGGAGTTGTCACAGTTGCTCTTTGCTGATGACACTGTGCTGGAGTTTACCTGGAGAGAGTTCCGGGGGTCAACGCCCCCGCGGCCCGGTCTGTGACCAGGCCTCCTGGTGGATCAGAGCCTGATCAACCAGGCTGTTGCTGCTGGCTGCATGCAAACCAACGTACGAGCCACAGCCCGGCTGATCAGGAACTGACTTTAGGTGCTTGTCCAGTGCCAGCTTGAAGACTGCCAGGGGTCTGTTGGTAATCCCCCTTATGTGTGCTGGGAGGCAGTTGAACAGTCTCGGGCCCCTGACACTTATTGTATGGTCTCTTAACGTGCTAGTGACACCCCTGCTTTTCATTGGGGGGATGGTGCATCGTCTGCCAAGTCTTTTGCTTTCGTAGTGAGTGATTTTCGTGTGCAAGTTCGGTACTAGTCCCTCTAGGATTTTCCAGGTGTATATAATCATGTATCTCTCCCTCCTGCGTTCCAGGGAATACAGGTTTAGGAACCTCAAGCGCTCCCAGTAATTGAGGTGTTTTATCTCCGTTATGCGCGCCGTGAAAGTTCTCTGTACATTTTCTAGGTCGGCAATTTCACCTGCCTTGAAAGGTGCTGTTAGTGTGCAGCAATATTCCAGCCTAGATAGAACAAGTGACCTGAAGAGTGTCATCATGGGCTTGGCCTCCCTAGTTTTGAAGGTTCTCATTATCCATCCTGTCATTTTTCTAGCAGATGCGATTGATACAATGTTATGGTCCTTGAAGGTGAGATCCTCCGACATGATCACTCCCAGGTCTTTGACGTTGGTGTTTCGCTCTATTTTGTGGCCAGAATTTGTTTTGTACTCAGATGAAGATTTAATTTCCTCATGTTTACCATATCTGAGTAATTGAAATTTCTCATCGTTGAACTTCATATTGTTTTCTGCAGCCCACTGAAAGATTTGGTTGATGTCCGCCTGGAGCCTTGCAGTGTCTGCAATGGAAGACACTGTCATGCAGATTCGGGTGTCATCTGCAAAGGAAGACACGGTGCTGTGGCTGACATCCTTGTCTATGTCGGATATGAGGATGAGGAACAAGATGGGAGCGAGTACTGTGCCTTGTGGAACAGAGCTTTTCACCGTAGCTGCCTCGGACTTTACTCTGTTGACGACTACTCTCTGTGTTCTGTTAGTGAGGAAATTATAGATCCATCGACCGACTTTTCCTGTTATTCCTTTAGCACGCATTTTGTGCGCTATTACGCCATGGTCACACTTGTCGAAGGCTTTTGCAAAGTCTGTATATATTACATCTGCATTCTTTTTGTCTTCTAGTGCATTTAGGACCTTGTCGTAGTGATCCAATAGATGAGACAGACAGGAGCGACCTGTTCTAAACCCATGTTGCCCTGGGTTGTGTAACTGATGGGTTTCTAGATGGGTAGTGATCTTGCTTCTTAGGACCCTTTCAAAGATTTTTATGATATGGGATGTTGGTGCTATTGGTCTGTAGTTCTTTGCTGTTGCTTTACTGCCCCCTTTGTGGAGTGGGGCTATGTCTGTTGTTTTTAGTAACTGTGGGACGACCCCCGTGTCCATGCTCCCTCTCCACAGGATGGAAAAGGCTCGTGATAGGGGCTTCTTGCAGTTCTTGATGAACACAGAGTTCCATGAGTCTGGCCCTGGGGCACTGGGGCAGAGTGCATGGGCATGTCATTTATCGCCTGTTCGAAGTCATTTGGCGTCAGGATAACATCGGATAGGCTTGTGTTAATCAAATTTTGTGGCTCTCTCATAAAAAATTCATTTTGATCTTCGACTCTCAGTCTGGTTAGCGGCTTGCTAAAAACTGAGTCATATAGCGGCTTTCTAAAAACTGAGTCATATTGGGACTTGAGTATTATTATTATTATAATCAAAAAGAAGCGCTAAGCCACAAGGACTATACAGCTGGGACTTGAGTAGCTCACTCATTTCCTTGCAGTCATCTGTGTAGGACCCATCTTGTTTAAGTAGGGACCCAATACTGGACGTTGTTCTCGATTTTGATTTGGCATAGGAGAAGAAATACTTTGGGTTTCTTTCGATTTCATTTATGGCTTTTAGTTCTTCCCGCGATTCCTGACTCCTAAAGGATTCTTTTAGCTTAAGTTCGATGCTTGCTATTTCTCTGACCAGTGTCTCCCTACGCATTTCAGATATAT